AAACAGATTTGTTAAAATATGATATGTTTATATCCTACAAACACACAATGGCATTTCATACAGCTACAAAAATAATAGATTTTTTATTTATATGCTCATATGGCAGATGTCTTCTCATTTTTAAGTGGAAAAATCTAATTGCAGAAATGTGTGTATATAAAAAAAAAAAAGCAATACATAACTATTTGCAGAGACCAAACAGCTAAAAACATACACATGCTATTTTCTCATTTTATTTTTAGTTCAGACAGGACTTATTTTGCTTTTAGAGTGATTTCTGGCAGCAAGATGCAAAGAGGATGAAACTCCTCATTCCTGAGATCTCTCTAATATCTTTTGATTAAAATGTCCGCTAGTATCAAGGTTTATATAAAACTGCTATAAGCCACAAACCATGTTCTAGTGGCAGAAAAGAGACATTTGAAAATAATGAAGATGCCATTTACATTGTTTTGTTCAACTAATGAGAAATGCCTCGGCAAGGTTTGCAACCGCCAAAAGGCCTCGTGAAAATAATTTAATTGCTACTAATAGGCCTGACAGATGTCACTTCATTCTGTCCAGTAATGCTGTGAGCGTGGCAAGGCAGAGAAAAACTGGAGGGCCACACTGGTCAGGGCCAGTTGTATTTTTTTTACACGCTGGTGTGACCACCTAAGTTAACTTTTGATACACTCATGGGTCACAACGCCCCCACTGGAAACACGGTGGTCCAGCGTACTGTGCCATGCCTCTTCTCTGCCTTCTGCTTCTGAGGTTACAGACCTCAACTAGCCCAACATGAACACCCAACGAAAGCATAAGCATAGTAAAACATTCTCCGCTGAAAACAATGACGTGAACAGTCTACCATTTTTCTCATGCTAAGATTTTCTATTAGATGATTCTTATTCTGATGGAACGCAACCAAAATTAGTAAAACCTCGTGGAATTTTGATGATCCTCTTGTTTATACGAGGAGGAAGAGAATAGCCAAACTTGGTGCCAAATTGCCTCCAAACCAGGGTACATCCAGCAATCCGGTCAACACCTTTCATTCCTGCTGGCCGGCGGCACCCCAACACCATAGAGGAAACACTGGCAGGGAGCAGTTCTGCCACTTAGTTCAACTCTGCAGGACAACTCCCTCACAGAACAAAACAACAAAGCTTCACGAATGCTGACCTGGTGTATCTGGAATTTGGCGTAAAAACTTTAAACAATTTTTACCCACCATTGCCTTTGCCAGCTTAAGAAGAAAAAGATTGATGAGCAAAGTAAGAGCCAAAAGACGACAGCAAGAAAAATGTTTACCTTATTTAAGAGAACAAACTTGGTCTAGCATTATGGATCACAATCATACCAGCTTCATAAATTCTCATGACAAATCACTTTTATCTATTTGTTAAAGCAGGTCTGGAAGGACTTCCATTTGGCAAAATAGTCAACCTTTTGCAAAAATGCTCTTTGCGCTTTAATGAACCTGAGTTTATTTTAAAAGAGGCTGCGATTTACAATAGCATATTCAAAAATTTAATGAGCGCCTGAAGTTATCCTATGTGAGTAAGGTTTACACTATTAAACACCTTATAAATACTGGTCTGACGAGCACAAAGCTCAGTTTTTTTCCACGTAAAGCGGAGTGTTCTAGTATTCTGACTCCAAGAATTAGAAACAGTTTTACTTACTTTTACTCAAAATAAACGTGGGTTTTACAAAAGAAGTGCCATGCAATGCTTTATTTTTCTTATGATTGCCATTAAACAATCCTGGAGTTGCCTATTTAAATGTCCATTGTATTGAGTCTTAATTTCTTAGTTCTTTGTGGATGCAATGAAGATTCAACCTTCCCATAATTTCAAATACTTGAGCATTTTAAAAAAAATTATAGCCTTTATGTATATATAAAATTACATATATAAACAAACTTTACCCCAAAATGTCCTGCTTACTACATGAAAATGTTTCTATCCCAGTGTTCACCATAGTCTATATGGTTCAAGGGGAAAGGGGTGGGAGGGAAAGAGAAGGGCGAGAAATCGGATGGTGAAGGAGAATGGAGGGCAGAGAGAGGAAGAAAACACCCATGGTCTTTTACCCAAAGTCCTATCCCACACAGGCACAGAACAATGAGGTTGTGATCACTCTGAACGTATCCACGTTACCAGACTGCAAAGATGACAAACTGAAAATGGACCCGTACGAGTGCAGTTCTCTGAAAACCACGGAGGAAGTCATCCACAATTGGCTGCTGAAGCAGTCACCATCCACTGCCTTTTGAACACACGGTCTCCTTCCTCAATGACTAAATCGCACTTCAATGTCCAGCGGTGAGATCTTTGTTTAGCAAACTCAGCTTAACTCTGAGACCCGCCAGAGGAACTTGTTAATTCCAACCTCGGTTTTCTGATGGCAAATCCAGGCTGATGGCTTTCTGCCTTTCTGCCAGGCGGCACCCTATCAGCACTTCAGTCAAAGGAGCCATGCCGCTGCTCAAATACCACTCTGATAAAGGATTGATGGCTTGGAAAATAAAGTTTGGACAAGTCTCCTGGAAAGTCACTTCAAAAGCATAGGCCCGAAGTCCAATAAGGTAAAACCGGGGACAGACTGTGGTAACAGTAGCCATGAAAAATGTTTGTCTAGGCTCAAATACTCCACCAATAAGCATCATAAATCTAGAAAGTAAAACACAGCACAAGCCCATGGCGGTATTGTCTCTCCAGCAGTCTGGGGATTATCTGTATACTCCAAATCTTCACATCACCCTGGGATGTAAAGTTTAATAATCATCCAAAACATGGAACAAGTCCACAGATACATTTATATTTTTCAGTCTCTTGAATAATAATGAGTTTGGAAAAAAAGGGATTGAAAAATAAAGACCAACAACTTCATCTTCAACCTTCAGAGGCAGAGTAACATCAGATGAAAGAGCAAATAATTACCTTCTAAGTGTCTCTTGCCATATTCATGTCCCTCTTATTCAGTGCAAATTACATCTCTGAACGAAACATTTTAAAAATAATATAGGAATATATACAACAGGGATTTCAGCCAAGAACTGACTCAGCAGCTGTGTGTTTAAATAATAAGAGCAACGCAAGTAAATTCTGAACGGTCAATTCCTCTGAGGGAAAACTCTTGACATTTTCCCTCTTCCTTGAGCTCAATCTCTTTCTTTTGGCACATTCTGCTCATCACACAGTATTTTGTGCATTCATATCACTTCATAAATAATAATAAAAAAATATAATGTGGTCTTTAGACATAGGCCTGAGATCAATTCTTAGAAACAATTCCCAAAGTTAACATTAATCATGTGGAAGTGACGCTAACTGCCCTCAAATGCACTCTAAAATAGTCTTACTGGTGTTTCCGAAGCAAAAATATATAATCAAAATGTGGAAGATAGTTGCCCATTCTGAATGGGGTGTGTCAATACTAGAAACTAATCTAAAACATTAACCTAACCTATTCATCTCCATCTTTATCTAAAATCTCCAAACCTGTCACCACATTTTGAATAAAAAAATTAATCAAGTCTCAGTTTCCAATAATGGTGAGGGGGGAAGCAAGAGAATAAACCATTCAAAATTGTCTGGAATTGCTTTAACATTCATGTTTCCACGGGGGGGGGGGGGGTTTCTATAGGCACTGAACAGATTATACTTTTATTAGGATAGTAATAAACCTCATTTCAGTCGTTAAGTAAAAATACCTAATATCATAGAAAAACAGAATACAGTTGATGTTCAAATCCCAAGTTGCTCAAGTGATGTAGAAGGCCAGGGGTTTTTAAGTGGCTGCAAACAACCAAATAAGTAGATAATAATGACCGTGTCTTCTTCTGCAAAATGAAAATAAAACATCTCAACACACAGAAAATGAACTAAGAGTATATCCTATAGTACTTGGCAAATTCAAGGTTTATACAAAGTTATGGAATTATGCTGGGACTATTGAACACATCCGCTTCCCATTTCTTGCCACCATGATCACAAATAAGAACGTAACAAGATCAGAGTTTCTGTAGCATTCCAGTCCACTGAAGTCCAGCTAACAACACTCATAACAACAATTGTAAAATAGTTTACATTCCTTGTGATGATTAACTCTTATGAAATTGGTTTAAAAGAAGGCAAAAACAAGAAAGGAGACTGAAAAGTATTGCAGCATCTAGCGGTCAGTTAGCAATAAAAGTCATCGGGAGAAGGGACAGTAAATACAAAACTAAACAACAACAAAAGCTTGACCACGAGGATAATGCTCAGTTCGCATTATCCTTCGATGGTGCTTTCCATTCTCCTCGTGACTACCTGCATCTCCCAATAAAGTATGCACAACAAAGTTTTCTGAAACTAAGGTTATACTTTAAGAAGAAAAACTAACCATAAAAATATTATGCTGGCAGGTCACTTGAAAATACTACATCCCCTTGAAAGAAAACTAAGGGTGCCCAGACTTTCATCTCTGACCATCCATGAAGCAGAGTGGAGGCCAGGCGAGGGAAATGCTCAGCCTAACAGAGAAATCTAGGCAGTTTTTCACTCTCTCATAGAAGAAGAGGAGAAGAATCTGTCGAGGAGGAAAATTTAAGGTTCAAACCACCATTAGAAGGGGAAAACATTCAGTATTAAATCTGTGTGGTTCATAAATAAGACCTCTAGTTAAGCAAGAAGACTAACATGTACATATTGAGAGTTTATAGGCTGAAAATATGTTATTACACATGGAGTGTTACTATGATTCATAGCTATCAAATGAACAGATACCCTGGAAACGTAGGTTGCTATACTATCTTCTTATTATAAGAAAATACTTAAAAAATATTTTTTTTCTGTTGTTAGATAAAAGGCTGTACTTTACTTTTAATTATGATAAACCTTCCAAACTACTGCTACTTGACAAATATTTGGGAATAAATGTGATAAAGGTAAAGGGTAATTTTCTCCCTGGACAACTTGGAGTGCTCCCAAGTTGTTATCAAACTACCAATTTCCCCGTCTCTCACAATTTACCTTTCTTGGATTTGGCTCCAATCTTCAGCTTTGACGGCCAGGCAATCTGTGTATTTGTTTCCTCCATGATCTGCAACAAAAATTAAGAGAAATACTGATTCAATTAAGAACTCGTGTTTACAGATAAGATTTTCTAATAAAGAAAGATCATTTTCAAGTCTTTAGGCTCATGTAGATATAACAAAATGATCTCATTTTAAAGCCATGCCCCCCCCCCCAAAAAAAAAAAAAAAAAACCTTGGAGGAGGGTAGGGAGAAAAGATGCATTTTATAAGCGTTTTATCTATCAGAAATAGTCAAGTATATTTTGTGATTCCCAGTGTTTCTCTCCATGGTGCTCCATGATGTTAACATAAAGACAAGACCAGAAAGTACATGAACAAGCAATTAACCCAACTTGTTGCCAGAACAGTCAGAAATGCTTGTGCTGAATAAAATTCCCCAAAACAATCGCCAATGGATTGCAACACATCAAACATAATCCTTGTAATACAAAACTATGTAGGTTAGGTCGTTCTAAATGAAGATTTTTTTTTTTGGGGGGGGGAGGGATGGGGGGATAAATAACTTTCTTTGAGCACATTTGTATTGCATTAAAACTCATGAAAAGCCTCTAAACATGACATCACGGCATAAGGCTACATTCCTGTCATTTTTGCCTGGACTAAAATGGCATTTTTGCAACAGTTCTTTCTCACTAACTTGCAGCCAGCACTGGCCAGGAGGCCCCAAGACCCAACCTTGCTGAAACTGCTGTAACACAAACACAAGTGAGGGAAACAAGACTGCCGCCCAGAGGACGGAGACAGTAAGCAAAGAATGAGTCACCAAATGTGTGTATCTTTTTATCTTCTCTGCTTTTATCACATGACTTAGACAAATGTTTACTTCTGTACCATGAATATAGGATGCTCCTAACTGCACAGCAAATAACTAAGCAAATTGGCAAAAAAAAAAAAGCGGTTACATTAGAATAGGGTGCTTACTTTTTAATATGGATTTAGAGTTAACGAAACAAACTGATGGTAAAGACATAATGAAACACATTAACGGTCCAATTATTTAAAAGTGCCTCTTGCCCTAGCTGATTTGGCTCAATGGATAGAGCGTCAGCCTGCAGACTTAAGGGTCCCAGGTTTGATTCCAGCCAAGGGAACATGCCTGGGTTACGAGCTCGGTCCCCAATAGGGAGTATGCAGGAGGCAGCCAAACAATGATTCTCTCTCATCTTTGATGTTTTTATCTCTCTCTCCCTCTTCCTTCTTCTCTAAAATAAATAAAATATATTTAAAAGTGCCTCTTCGCTCTCAGTATCAGTTACAGCAGAGCAGAAGGCTAGATGGTTAACATGTTAACGTGTGTCTTACTTCATTTGATCCCCTTTATCACAGCATAAAAAGCCTTTCAGCAGCTGCTTCAGTCTGGCATTTTGTCTATCCATCCCAACGTTTTTTTTGTTCTTCAACGTGAGCCAATATTTTTAAATCAGGGAATTTCCCATACAAATTCTGATTTCTGGTTCTCTGTAAAACTTGGCAGATTTAGCACCTGCAGCCCACATTCCGACATGGTCACTCTTGGCCTGCCTGGGGGACCAGATGCCCTCTCTGGCCAGGCCCAGAAGGCACCAGCTGCCCTCCAGACCCACAGCTACAAATAAGTCACAATTCCTGGTTCCCACAAGCTTACAGTCAAGTCAGGGACACAAACAAACAAAAAATGCAATTGCCTAACAATGGGCTAGAACAGCTCACAGCTCCTGCCTTGAAAGTTCAGGCCAGGGGATGGTTATAATAAAGGGTTCCCCAAAATATAATCTGCAAAATTACTCAAGTCCTGAAAGTCAAGGACAGGTAAATTTACGAATGTGTACTTTAGTCCCCACCTGAGCATGAAGACCAAATAAGGAAGGCCTTCTCATTGGTTACATGTTAGTTCCAGCTACTATACATACATGTATTTTCAAAGTGACTAAAATTAGACTCAGAATTTTCCTGTTAGCTAAGAGACCTAAAGAGGGAAAATGAAAAAATGAGATCATCCTATAATTTTGGTAGGAGAGCAGTAAGAAAATAATCTATATACTTCCCTTTTTGCTGAATTAAGTAATTTGACCATTTAATCCAGTAATTTATGTTGGGTGTCATCATTATTCCTATATAATAAAACACTAATATGCAAATGGGCCGAATGGCGGAACAACTAGTCGCTATGACACGCACTGACCACTAGGGGACAGGCACTCAGCACAGGAGCTAACCCCTTGGTGGTCAGTGCACTCCACAGGGGGAGTACCGCACAGCCAGACGTTGGGCTCACAGCTGGTGAGCACAGCAGCAGTGACAGGAGCCTCTCCCACCTCTGTGGCAGCGCTAAGGACCCCTCGGGGGATGTCCAACTGCCCATAGGGAGCGTGCCTAAGCTGGCAGTTGGACATCCCCTGAGGGGTCCCTGACTGCAAGAGGGCACAGGCCGGGCTGAGGGCTCCCCTCTCCCCCCAGTGCACGAAGGTTGTGCACTGGACCTACTATCACCCTGACACCATATGCTTGGAAGATACAACTTTCTGAAATCTTAATCGTGTGCAGAACTTCGTAGCAATCACCTACACATGACCTTTTTTTTTTTTTTTTAAATACCACTAGAAGCTCCGTGACGGGGAAGACTGACAGAGACTGTATCGTAATAGCAGGTAATGGGCATCAAGTCAAAATGCCCACTCCATACACTCCAGTAAGCCTCACACGGGTCCAGTGTCCACTATACATGAGGTGGCGGTGCACGGAAAGATTCACTTTCAACCTACCCACAGCAGCACTGCCTGGTAGTGGAAGAAAGGCGACCCCAAGCTTACGACCCCTGAGTATAAAAACAGAGTGCAATCTGTTATTCCACATGATCTCCAAAGTCCTATGAGCTGCAGTAAATGTCACACCTTTTACAGAAAACAAATGACTTGTTATTGGAATCTGGCACCTGTAGCTGACCTGTCCTATGTAACTAGTAAAGGGCAACTCCAATAGATACCATTTGTGGCTGCCAACACCGACCACACAGGTCACCCATGAGGCTCCTTGTCGGTCCCTCGCACGATTGTTCATCGCTGTGTGCAATATAGCCGATACGGGCAGGTGGTTCCAGAGGCAAGTACCTGGGCCGCTTCCTGGCAAGTACCTGTGGTCAACCTCACTTTCCTCCTCTGTACAATTAGCTGTAGAGTGGCCGTGAGGTTTTAAAAGAAAGCATGTTGGAAACCCACGCACAGGGTGGGGCACACAGGGATGCTGGGTAATCTGAGCCCTGCGTTAAGGACATGTTGATACCTTTGGGGCAGGCACTGTTCTGGACATCAGGATCAGCAAAACAGACAGTGCTGGAGGAGGAGGCACAATTCTCCGCTGGGATGTGCGGCAACAGGCCAGCCCAGGGAGCCCAGTCCGAAGCTGGGATGCAGGATAAGGGGGAGGAGGCATGTCCGCTGGAAGAAGTTGGAGAAGCTGGAGGGGGTGGGGGGTGTTAGGATGGTGCAGAAGCAGAAATGGCACCAAACAAGTCAGAAAGCTAGTGACTGATCATCAAGACAAATAGGGAGGAAAATCAAGATAGACAGGGGAACTGGAAAAGGTGAGGTCACAAAGCTGTGGCTGACATCATAGAAGCTGTAATACCTCTAAGAGGAAAATGACTACCTTTATGTCTCAGAAAAAGAAAAAGAAAAAGAAAAAAAAAAGTCTTGAAGTTCCAAAGTTCCCAGCTAGTTTGTTTTTATAAACTTATTGTGGCCTCCATTTCCACCTTCACAAAACCCAAGTTCAAAGAACTACTAAACATTAAATCCCACCTTAAAGTACTTGAAAGACTTTCGTTTTAACTAATAGTTCTGGATGCTGTCCATTAATAAGGCAGCGAAGGAACCAAGGTCAGAGATAACCCTGGGATTTCCCCGAGGGGCAAGAAGGACCTAAGACGCTTATAGGCGAGTTCCATATTCCGTATTTTTTAAAAGATGCCCAGGGCTTCCAGACAACCCCAACCTAAGTGCTTACTTATTCCATTTCAAAGAGGCAGTGTTGCGTTGGACAAGAGCTTGGGTGTGGACACCGGTGGTACAGGCCATGCGCAGCCTGGATGGTAGAGGTAACACATTCCTGGGTGCCTAAGGCTCAGCGCTTTGAGGAAGGAGACAAGCAGGGACGAACTATGACGGGAGCAGCTGGTAGCCTCCTACCATCTTCACAAAGCCCAGCAGGTTTAATGAAAAGGAGACTTTTTTTTTTTTAATCATGAAAATTGGGACGTTGAAACAAGTTCATTTTATGGATCCTATAATGGATGAAAACACTGACACCTCTCGGGAGGATGGCATACATTTTCCACAATCCAAATAACTCGTGCACAAAACCTCACAAGGAAATCGTTTCCCAGGAACCCATGCTCTACCCTAGTTCTCAAGCAGGTCAGGATAGTGCCCGAAGAGTTCGGTTTGCATTCAAAGAATAATTCAATTAAGTGGCCGGCTCTGACCAACCCCTTTCAAAAAAATAAGATGTTGATGCACGTCTGCTGTATGAAACACGAACTGAAAGTTGGGAAACACGCTGAAAATGACTAGTGCTGCCTTGCGGCCCTGAGCTATAAATACCTCCATGTCAGTTAAGCTCAGGAATGCCTAGGAATGCAGAGCCGTAAAACCTCTGAGAAGAAAATGACTATCTTCTGCCTCTGGTGGGGGAAAAATCTAAACTCAGTCCTCCCTGGTTGTTTTCTGGTTTTTATTTCAATCTAATTATTGTCCTGGTTTTCACTTTCACAAAGTCAAAACTCAAAAGACAAATATCTGGCTTTGAGTCATTTTCAAAAACCATGCAGTGACACCTTAAATATTTTAAAGACCTGTTCTAACTCTTAATTCTGGATGCTGTATGATAATGTCATTTCAAATAGGTCAGTTCCAATTTCTGGACATCTTCACTGTCAAAAGAATATTTTCTCAATGCTACTGATTTATCTAAGATTCTTTAGCTGCTCTCTTATGTCACAAGGAGACTTTGGAGAAGTCCATCCAAAAAT